GTGTGTAATATGTACGTTCCAACTAGACACCATGTTTACTTCTTTCAAACACCCAGCCTCATGTATTCACGGCACCTTCCACCCTCTCTCTCTCTCACACACACACACACCGATTGGCCAAAAGTCGCCCGTTTTGCAAAAAGCAACACTTAACCACGTGGCATCTCATTGCTTCTTTTTTTCCTTTTAGAGCGGGCGTTTTGTATACCTTCCACAAACACAAAAAAAGTAAAGTAAAGTTTAGTTAAGTAGCCAAGAGAGTGGTACGCGGCTCCCACCCCCTCCCCCTTCCCTGGAGAAAATAACGGGGGAGTTGCACATGGTGAAATGTTACGCGAGAGAAGGGGGAGAGAGGGCACGTGGGTCGTGAGGCCCAACCCGCGGAAGGAAGGAAGGAAGGAAGGAAAGGTGGTAAGAGGGAAGGGGGGGAGGTTGGGGGACGGGAGATGAGAGGGTAGATTGAGGTGTGGGTTTGTATGCCTGATTTCAGGCAGACAAAGGAAAAACAGGCTGTGTTTTCTCTTGAATATGAGAGAGAGAGAGAGGAGGAAAGGGAGAACCGGGGGCCAGAATGTAATTTCCTGACTAGCATGGATGTTTGTATCTGTTTTTGGCGTCTGGCGTGTAATTTAGCTCTACTTAGTCGCCCGTGTTAAAAAAATTACATTGCTTGAGAGAGACTCCGCGGGCCGAATAACGAACTCTGTATGTGACCGAGAGCTGTAGCTACTTCTTTTTTTTTTGAAAAATAAAATAAAATACTTGGTAATCGGGTACCGATACCTTTATCTTTTATTTTTATTTTGGCTTTCGTTGCAGAAAACAGAGTCATTGCACCTGCTTCTTTGGCAACGTACGCGGAAGCCGGATAGCCACGAGAGAAAAAGAGAAAGAGAGCGAAAGGAGGCCCAATGGCTTGGTTTCGCGCCTGGGGCGGGGGGCCCCATAACCACTGTTTGCGGTGCTTGAGTCGGTGACATTCGCGACTATTGCTTCTCTTGGATTTTTACGAGTGGAATTCCACCTTGGTTAATGAGGCCTAGGTGCTACGAAGTCCAGCCTGAGTTTCACAATGTTTTGGTGGTGTGAGCGCGCACACGACTACTGCGGATTTTGTTAGTAATAGCAAGTACGTCGCTTCGGGCCGAGGATATTGTGAAGCGTGACCGAAGCGTCCGGGAGTCCTAGCTTGCGGCTGTGGCTAGCAAATTCGTACGAAGCTCGCAATTGGAGAGAGCATATTGATAACAGTAATGATAATCAATCTGATGCTTCAGGTAAGGTCACAAGCCACACCCTCGAAGGCGTAGCCGAGCAAAGTATATGTCGTAATTCGCTCGGAGGTTGGGCGCAGGACCAATGTTTGTTGAGGCCTAAGGTGCGCCGCATGCAAGAGGAATGAGGCGCTCATTTTTCCTTGCGGGAATGCTGGACGTTGGGTGGCGATTGCGACAAGAGCATCATACCGCGGTGTTTAACAAGAGGAATTATATATACTCCTTGCAGCGATAGGCTGATGCACTGCTTAGTGGAGGAAAAAAACCTTGCGTTGTGATGGTGACATGCTTAAATGTGGCTTATCCAGGGGTCAGGTATTGACATGGCGGCATACGCACTACATATGCAAAAGTCCTTCCGCGGTATAGATATGATGACGAAGCTCTCAAGCAGCTGATGGAGATGCATGGTCCATGATAAGCAGTCCGGTGTGGACGTTCACACCGCTTGCCGCGGGGCTTGCTTTGACGATGAGCGGTGGAGGTCGATCTCGAGGTGTTTCGGCATGGGTTAACGAAATAGAGTGGACTATTGGCATTTCAGATGGCGCAGTCGTGCTAATCGAGCTCCCATGTTGCCTCGAGGAATCTGGGCGGTTGGGCTCTGTGACATTCACTGGCTTGACGCGCTAGGCGTGACTGACTAGGCTTGGCTGGGCCGAGGTAGCATTTGTCGACTAATCAAAGGACAGAAGAAATTTGGAGGGCATGAATCAGGGTAGTGAGTATCATTCTGGGTGGGAACGAGTGGAGACGGGGACATAGTGGGGCGATCTGATGATGTAGTTCAAATCGTGGTGATGCGCACGCGCGCGTGTGTGTGGATGTAAGTAACGCGGGAAGGAGAACCGGTAGCACTTGCCCTCCCCTAGTGCACAGGTTGTTGTTATTATTGCTGTTGAACATACCGCCTTATGGGCGGGGCGCATGCCTGTATACCCAGGGGCGCAAAAGGATTGCATCGTGGTTTGGAGGATGCGATGGCTTGCGGACAGATCTAGATGAGATCTGACATGCCCCCACGCTAGTCGAGGTGCCACCGGGTACGAAGGCCGACACCAGTGTATACCCCAGAACCAGAATAAGCACAACACCCCAGAAGACCTTTGACAGGGTGACACCTGTCCGGAACAATGTTCCGCTGCTCTGGTAGTGGTCGGTCCCAGAAGGATGGGATTGAGTGGCACAACTTCCAAGCATCTACGTTGCATCATCCCCTCTGCTGTACTCGATCGCCCGTCACCGCCTGTTCAACAGAACACGAACATGATGGTCTCCGATATTGTGCGGGCCGCACTCGTGTGCTCAAGGTCCGTGTTGCGGGCCAATTCCAGGTACCCAGCTGGCAGATGCAGTGCCAGTTGTTGGGAGTATTGCAAAACACGCGTTCAGGCAAGGTGATTCCCAACATGGCAACGCCAGTAGTTTCGGCAAGAAGTGTATAGTTTTTTTTCCCACGGCTTTTCATATATGGTGTGGTGTAAAGGCTACACACGACAAACACATGTGTAAGCCAGGTACATCCTGAAGGACTATCTAACTAGGTACAATGTCCTGGCATGCAGAAAGGCGACATGGGGCCCCTTCATGCTCGCTATGAGGCATACGCAGTACCGAGTCTTTGCCCTTGACGAGCTGAAGAATGAGGTATTATATACGCTTTGTTGCGCAGTAAAGGTGGATGATGTACCAAACGATACGTGGCAATGAAACCTGTAGTGCACTCTGCACTATCGATGATGCATTCGTTCCGTCGAGTGTAAGACACTCGTAGGTACATTAGAAGTGTTCAAGAAATCCCGAAAGCGGTAGTTTTGGGTCGATCATGGGTATTGAGAGCGGGTCGCATGCCAGACGTCTGGGGGGTGGGGACCATTGCGGTCGGTCCGGACGAGGCGTATCGAGGCAGTTTGTAGGACTTGTGATGTAGGGCAGACGCAAGGTGAGGAGTCGGGGCCGTATTACTGGTGACAGAGGTCCAAGTGGTAGGTGGGAGGGGTCGAGTGAGTGAGTTGTCGACGATGCGCAGGGTGGGTGTGAGTTGAAGACACATGTGCTGGCTAAACTCTGTGAGAAGGGCGACTACTGAGATGGCCAAGATATATTTTTTGGTCCTCCTCCTCATCCATGAGCAAGTCTTCGCCAGGGTAGTCGTTGACATCGTCCTCGAGCATCTGAAAAGTCTCTGCATAGGCGCGCGATGGGACGGATTCTGGCGAAACGAGAAGGGAAGCGACGTCTATCTTGATTGGTCTCGGATACAAGTGCTCGTTGGGGTCTTGAACGAACCAGCCAACGCTCTGGGTATGGTCGGCCAACTTGACTTGGGGCATGTCGAGGGGAGCGAATCTCTCAGCCAGGATCTTGCGCAGCACGCGCTCAACCTGCTCGTCTGTAGGGCCATGGGTGAGCTGCTTCTGCTCGAGTCGGAGTATACGCTCATTCATCTTCCGGAAGCACAGTTCTGTTCTTCGCATGAACTCATGGCTGCAATGGTTAGTATGGCTGTTCAACTGTCGGAGGGGCACTGCAGATTACACGTACTACCATGATGCGATTCGTTCAAAGGACTGGTTGATCATTTGCAACTGGTAGGAGAAAGACATGTTGGGCTATGAGGATGAGGTGAGAGAGGAGGCCAGCTACGTAGTACTGTAAGGGAGACGCTTTGAAAGGAATGGATTTCCGGCAAGATAGCAATCAGACTTGAAAGGGCAGTGGTTACGGGGTGAAGGACGCTAGGGGGAAGGATGTGTGATATATACGACGAGGGTGGAAGACGGGTGTTCCTAGAGAGGCGGCTCGTGTGGCACATAATGAGCCTGACCTTGGACATGCAGTAGGGTGGGTAGGGCGCGGCAGGGCGCGGCAGGGTCCAATGCTGGCGGGATGGCTTGAGGGATTGGTTTGGTTGGCCAGGAGGGGGTGTTTGATGGGTGGATATGCTGAAGGAGTGTAGGTAGTGCTAGTGGGCGAAAGGTGCCGACGGAGATCAGTGGGCAGCTGAGGGTGGCCCGGCTGTCAGGCGGAAGAGCCGTATACGGCGAACCAGGACAGAGACAGACCGGTCGTCGCGTGGGATGGGGTGAATGCAGGGGCGTGGCCAGGGCGAGCACCCTGCCGACGGGATCGACGATGAGGTATGGGCTAGCACATCTGTATGAAGGAGGATACCTACGGTTACCACGCGCAACTCTGGAGCAGGGCACCCAGCCACGACCGGTATTAGCGACCAAGACGGACAGCAGCTCGTGGCCACCTCACCGCAGGGCAGGCCGCCAGTCGCCAGTCGCCAGTCGCCAGTCGCCAGTCGTCAGTGGGCCAATCTGGGTCATGACTTGACGCCCCCGTCGGCGCCGTGGCCCTCGCCATGACCTGACCACTACCAGAGCTAAGCGCGCATCAATTCGCCGAATAGCCTCAAGGCGCCCCAGCAAGATGCGAACAAGGCTGTCTGGCGATGCAAGTCCATGCCATGCCATGCCAACGGCGTTTCCCGACCGGGTCTCGTCGAGCATTTGCATTTGCATTTGCAGGTGCATTTGCAGCTGCAGCTCGGTCCATTTGTCGCGCTAGGCCCAAAACGGCTGCAGCAACAGTGCGTCTCGGCAGCACTTCCTATTGCCCGTTACTTCACCCCCGACTCATCGGTCCACATTCTGCACGCGAAGCGGCCAGACGGCTTCAAACACCTGTTCTCCGCCCTTGGGTCCCTACTGCTACTGCTACTGCTACTGCTACTGCCTATGCCGAGTCAGCTCGAGTCAGCTCCCACGCCTACTGCTACTACATGTTACATGCTAGTAGCTACTGTACTTAACAAAAGCTTTTCACAAATGCCCATCCCCAAACCCCATGTCCTCCCCCCCCCCCAAACCAAGCAAACGCCACAGTGATGTGCCTCCAGCGGCCAGCCTCTACCCTCAACGTCTAGTGTACGGAGGAGCGCGTCAAAAGTCTTCGCGACAGGGGTAGGCAGCGCACTGACGCACCGCAGGTCTTGGCATTTGCTGTTTTGACAGCTTATTCACTGATATCCTCCCACTCATTATCTACATTAATTTTGATAGCCTTTACAGCTGTAGCCTCCCTCTCAGTGCCCTTTCCTGTTCTCCTACCCTCTTTATATTCATTGCCACCTTCTAATCTAATGATATTTTGAATATGAATTGGTATTCTTTCAATCCACTCTTGAATCTTCCACTAAGGTAGCTCGTCCCAAGCTTTCGTCCAGGCTCTGATAGCTTCAACCTTACTCCTTAGAGCTCCCTTTTTCGTAGTAAGCCTCTTCATATATAGCCAGCAGCACTCTATTGCATTAAGATCAGGTGAATTACCGCACCAGAGTAGCCTAGCTACCTCAAATATATTAAAGACCTTCTGTTGTAAGTGATGCGCATAAGAAGGAGCTTTATCTTCTTAAACGAGAGTATATAGCCTCTCTTTCTTACACTCTTGAGCAAAAGGTAGAAGCTTAGGTATTAATATTTCAGCGCGATATCTCCACTAATCAATACCATTTCCTTTACCACGAGTAAGCTTACCTGTATCTGCAGTAAATTTCCAAGTTAGCTTCTTGCTAGGCTTCGTACGTAGGCCTAGCCTTCTAACTCCAGTATTCAGTTCCCACTCAGCTCTAGCCTCAGCTTTAAGCTCTTGGTTAAGAGCCTCAATAGCCTTACGAGCTTCTTCCTTCTGCTTTCTTGATTCAGGTTGCCAACAGTAGCAAGGACCTTTCTTGTTATATGAGAAGCTCCCCCAGAACATGAACTTAGAGTAGCCTTTCCACCTCTCACGTATAGTACTGCGCAGAAAAGCTTTATTAGATTTCCTCCAGATCCGATAGCCTCCACGGCGGTGATTAAGGACTACAGAGGTCTCATCTGTCCATATAACATTCTTCTAATCCTCAAGAGTCCACTTCTCTCGCTCCTTGCACTAGGCTAGTCTCTCCTCCCTTATCTTCTTGGTCAACCCAGGCTTCCTCGTCGGCTTCGTCTTCTTGTAGCCTGCCTTCTTGAGTATCTGGCGCACTGTTGTAGCAGAGATATTAACTCCCTCTTGACTAAGTTCGCCAGCGAGATCAGCACAGCTCTTCTCTCTTCCATATCGATCGCGTACGAGTTTCTGGGTAATAGATTGACGTACAGCCTCGGTTTCTTTAGTAGGGCGTCCCGAGCGAGGAGCATCTTCAAGGTGAGCGTTACAGATAGTAATAGGTTGTGAGGCGTTGTATTTAAATCCTCTCTTGATAGCTTTAGCATATATACTTCGAATAGTAGACTCAGGAAGGCCTGTAAGGTAACAGACCTTACTATTTGACTTTCCTGCAACGGATTTAAGAGTAACAACAAGTGCACGAGTAGCGATATTATAATTAGGAGCCATATTGAGCTAATCTAATTAAGAATCACTGAAAAACAATAAATATGAGGGGCTCCAGGAAGGCCACGTCGAAACACCAAATGCCAAGACCTGCGGTGCGTCAGTGCGCTGCCTACCCCTGTCGCGAAGACTTTTGACGCGCTCCTCCGTATGAAACGGGCAGAGGTTACGAATGTTCGCAAAAGCTATACTTTATTGCCATCAAGGGGTCCTCCCCAGGCGTTCGGCTTGTCGAGTGCCTATGTTTCCTCGGTGGATTAGCAGCTTGAGGCGTCATCCTGTGCGCATGGTCAGGCAGCATCTGGGATTATTACTACTACCACACGTCGGATGACCACTTCACTTCCCCAAACGGAATCCAATATATTTTGATTTCGCTTCTTTCCATTTCACGCCGAAAAAATCACCCAAGACCTCGTGTTCCTCACGAGCCCTCTGCAAATCCTGGTTAGGCCTGATACGGTTTACCTCGGTTTATTGCCTGGTGTCGTGCAGGAGAGATCCGGGGAAGCGTGCTCTGTGTCTGTTGCCAACGACTGCGCCACTATCAATGCCTGGCCACCATGCTATTCCCGAGAGAACGTCGGGACTATGATCCCGCCCAACTTCTTCCTGCACAGATGTGGTCAAGTTTCCATCAATGTCTCTGCACCGTAACCGGCGGCCGATACAGGGATGCTGAATCCTGCCCACACCCTGTCTCTAATATGTACAAAGTCCACGTTTGCCTATCAAAATTGATCCTCGGAGGATTAACACCATGGGTCTGATTTCACTACTGACTCGTACCTCTCAGCTGATACGGTAAAGTACAGACGTGTCACTTTAACGACTTGGGTTAACTGAACGTCGCTTTCGCAGCTGAGTGTCTGAGCGAGTAAGAGAAAAACGTACGAAAGTACCTAAACTTTAACAACGTCGGGGAAATCAGATTGGGCTCTCTCACCTCTCTAAAAAAAGATATACGCAAGTGCTTAGTGTTTATCAGTACATGTGCTTGCACAAACACTTGTACTACTTACATATAACGTGTTTTACAAGCGAGCGGGCCATACAAGCGAGCGGGCCACCCCACCAACTTTGCGCACCTCTCTAACTCTAATCAACTATGGCCCTATCAAATCAAGCCCGCAACGTCTCTCATGAATCTGATATACAGCTAGCAATCTTAGCTATTAATCAAGATCAAATTAAGTCTCAAAGAGATGTAGCAAAAGTCTACGAAGTCTCTCGAACAACACTCCAGCGTCGACGCGCTGGCATACTTACCCGACGCGATTGCCAGCCTAACTCAAAGAAGCTTACAAAGCTAGAAGAGGAGGTGATAGTTGATCATATAATTGATCTAGATCTACGTGGATTTTCGCCTACCTACGCAGCTGTGCGTGACATGGCTGACAGACTACTGGCTGCGCGCGGCGCTGGCCAGGTTGGCGTCCACTGGCCGCGCAACTTTGTTAAGCGTACAGACAGTCTTACGACGCGTTTCAATCGAGCGTACGATAGGCAGAGGGCTCTATGTGAAGATCCAGTCCTAATTAAGGGCTGGTTTGAGCTCGTGGAGCAGACAAAGGCCAAGTACGGTATCTGCGATGAAGACGTCTATAACTTCGACGAAGCTGGCTTTATGATGGGCAAGATCACGACTCAGCTAGTCGTAACAGCGTCAGAGAGGAGGTGCCGGCCAAAGGCAGTTGAGCCAGGCAATCGTGAGTGGGTGACGCTGATCGCAGCGATCAACGCAGCTGGCTGGTCTATCCCACCGTTTCTAATCTTTACTGGCAAGTATCACCTATCTGCCTGGTACGAGGAGGCAGAGATCCCACGCGACTGGGCCATCGCAGTCAGCGACAACGGCTGGACGACTAACGAGCTAGGAGTTGAGTGGTTAAAGCACTTTATTAAGCATACAGATGGCAAGGTTGTTGGAGCACGTCGGCTGCTTATTCTTGACGGCCATGAGAGCCACCAGTCACTTAAGTT